GGCAGAGAGAGGAGAGCCGCTCCACTTCAAGCAGAATTGTGCGCAAGGAGAAATCTGTGAACCAGGTGGTCACAGGGTATGGGCATGAGAACAAAAGGAAAGAAAGCCAGCGTCTCCACACACGGGTAGGCGGCATCAATGACAATGCCAGACAGAAGAGAAAGCCTCCACGGCAGGCGAGACCAGAAAAGGACCAGAACCATCTAGATGCCTGCAGAAGGGCAGATGTATTCTGCCTAAAACAGAGCGTCCAAACACCTGGGGGCTGCCCTTGTGATGATTCTCTCTCCCGGGAGAGGGAGATTTTCATCCTGAACTTGACCGCCATCAACAAGGAAGAACGGGTTAGCGAAACAGATAGGGGGCGCCCAGGGGAGGTAAGACCTACAACGACCAGCACACACGGGGCAGACAGTGAACTCGAGTCCCCGGACGGCAAAGATTTCCAAGGAAACGCCAAACAACGGCAACAGAAACCCTCACGCGTCAAATTCCATCAAAGCAGCAAGGTCTGTCTGAAGAAACAGATGTGGTTCGACGGGCAGCCCCGGGACGAGCTCTGCGTTTCCAAGGGCGCCACGTGTTTGGTTAAGTTTTTACTGAAAGGGACGTACCTACAAAAAACTGCACGTGGACCCCAAATGTACGACTCAACGGACTGCCGCAAACGGAGCACACCAGTGTCAACAGTGTTCTGGTCAAGAGACACCATCACCGCACCCCAGAAGCCCTCCCCCGAGCCCCCGCCGAGTCACTAACTACCCCCGCAACTCTGATCCGGACTTCACCGCACGATGCGTCTGGTCTGTTCCTACCACGGACGCAGATGGACTCGCACACCGTGTGCTTTTCTGTATCAGGCTGATCGCCTTCAACGCCATCTCACGCCGGTGAAGGCAGCTGCCAGGGCTCCTCACTGCCCCACTCCGCTCCATTGCAGGCGCCACCATGTCCCTGCCAGCAATCCTCTACCGAGAGGCGCGGTGCAGAGCAAGGAGGAACCAGCAGGGCCACATCACTAGCGGAGCTCAGGAGCCCCAGCGGCTCACGCCCTTGCCGGCCTCCGCATCTTCCTAACTGTTTCACCTCAGCCGTCCTGGGTGGAGAACGGGATTCCTGAGATACTTTTCAGATATATTTTATTGTGTTCTGCTTTCTCTACTTCCAAAATGGAAATGAAGTCAGCTTGTAATAAAAAGATTAGATGGGACCAATTTTTAAAGCTTTTTAAAAGGTAAAATCGTAAAGAAAGAGGGCAAATAATTAAACCGATAGCAGGATGTTATAACTGCCACAGTGGGGCATAAAACTTACTTCTGAAATATCTAGCTGCTGACACCGAAAGGGAAACATGGTGAGCCATAGAGCTTTCAGTCTACTACTGAACAGAGTTTGTAACAAACGGTCAAAAGGAATCCTATCTGGAGGTTTAGATCAGAGTTCACAACATGATGGATAATTTTCAGCAGCAATTTTATAAGAGATACATACTTTGCATGAGGTTCTCTGGTTCCTTTTTTTTTTTTTTTAAGATTTATTTATTTATTTATTTGACAGATTGAGAGAGAGAGAAATAGATCACAAGTAGGCAGAGAGGTCCGCAGAGAGAGGGAAGCAGGCTTCCAGCTGAGCAAAGAGCCCAATGCGGGGTTCGATCCCAGGACCCTGAGATCATGACCTGAGCCAAAGGCAGAGGCTTAACCCACCGAGCCACCCAGGCGCCCCAAGGTTCTCTGGTTTCTTAATGCATCTCTGTACAAGTTTTAGACATAACACTAAACCATGATTTTCTGAAGTAGCTCTTCTGTAACTAAGCTCCTCAGAATGAACTGCCAGAGGGTATGTCGGCTTCCCCTTTCAAGTATCAGTTGTCTGAGGAACCTTTTTAAAAAAAATAATAATAATTTTCTCTTCTGATTATAAAGGTAATAAAAAGCTCATTATAAAGAATCAAAAGAAAAAAAGAAATCAACCATGAAGCCTACCACCTGGATATAGCCTACTAGAGTTTCCTATAATAAAAAATGTCAATCAGCACTTCCAATTAATTTTTTTTCTTCTCCTTTTTTAAAATTAATAGCAGGCTGTGCTATCTACTCTGTGGCCAGTTTATTAACAGCTGCCGGAAAACTAATTTATTCGTTTAACCAGAACTCTGCTGAAGTACAGATTGCTCCCAACTTCCTGCCATGAAACATACAAATCTTTCTGTGTTTTCTAATTGTTTCATTAGAATAAATTCACAGAAGTAGAATTACTAGGCCAAAAAGAATGTGCACGTAAAGGCTTTGATACACTGCCAAACTACGCCCGACACCGAAATTAATTTACACCCCCATTAGCCTGTATGAAAGAACTTGTAACCCAAGGTGTGATTTGCTTGCAGGTGTTTTTAGCATTTGACAGGTTTAAAAAAAGTAAAAAGCATGACTTTTTGAATTCTCTGATTCTTTGGTTTAGAGCAAAGATAAGCATCATCTCACAAGTCTGCTGGCCATTTGAGTTTCTTCCTCTGTGAAACGCTGTGGTGTTATCCTCCGGTTCAGCCCGTGTATATTGATTACAAGCCTAACTGTGGCCAGGCTCACTGCTGGGCACTGGGACTACAGAAATGTACAAAAATGGAGAAAAATCTTAGGTGACATCCCCACCGACCCCAGGGGTCTCCCGGATCAGCATTCTGGAAGCTGAAGAGCACCACTCAGAGCGCAGCCCTGCCTAATGGCATCATTCCAGACCGGCTGTTCTGATGGCAGCTTCCTTGCTGAGCCCTCCAGTGAGCCCATGTCACCCGCCCTCTTGAGCAATGGTGGAATGACACGTACCAAGTTTACCTGAACTATCCCAAATTTTTTAGGAATAAGTCCAAGGGGAAATAAAACAGAGAAGATGGAACAAACCGATGTAATAGGGTTGGGGTGGGCTGAGCCTGTGGGGAAAGCTGTTGAGAAGGCCAAGGCTGATAAAGGCTGTTGCAGGGAAGCCCCGACGAGGACGGAAAGGAGAGGTCCTCTGTCTGAGAAACGTGGTGTTCTTTGTTCTCTGCGTTCCTGACTCGGGGTGATTCTAAAACAGCAAAGTCTACAGCACAGCTGGTGCGCACAGCGGGGAATCAGTGTGCCTGGACTTAGGGCACCTGTCTCAGACCTTGTCAGGGTTCGACCTCTGCATCATGAGCTCGAGGACACAGGCAGGATGCTGGCCAGATGTTCTGAGGAAAAAGCTCCAGGAAATCTTTCATACCACAAAGGACAGTACCCAGATTCGAACTCAAAAGATGAGGAGAGGCGGGACCCAGAAGCCGAAACCGCTCCGACGCCGCTCAGGCCTTCCCCTTTGCTCTTGAACTGAAAACAAGTTCAAGAGCAAAGGGGAAGGCCTGAGCGGCGTCGGAGAATTGTTACAATCCAACCGCAGAGGCAGAGAATGGGAAAGACTCACCAGGGTCAGGGTGAGAAGAGATTGGAGTCCAAGGGGTGTTCAGCAGGTGGCGGGATGCAAGCCGGTGAGGAGGCCCCAGCCACACCTGAAGCGCCACCTGCTCCTTCTCCTGCACAAGCAGCCGCCGCCCCGTGGCCTGGCTGACGGGGGCGGCCCTGGGAAGGAGACCTGCAGCCTGACGGGTCCTGAAGCCACCCCCAGGGCCATGTGAAGGAAAGGAAGAACCTCCGAGGGGCTGAGACAACATTTCTAAATACCCAGAGAGCTATCGCGTGGATAGAGAACAAGACTCATTTTGGGTGATCTAGAGACAACGTGAAAAAAAAGTAATCTGAACGTTAACAACGGGTGCCGTCTGCCGAGTGCCTCCCATGAGCAGACCTCATGCGTGGTCCCGCGCTCAGCCAACCTCCAGGGCCGGGTACCAAAGTGGGGACCGCAGGCACCACCACGGAGGTGGGCGGGGTGAGGCAGTGCACGTCCACACACAGGAGAGGGCCCACACGTGGACACCGCTCGGTACAGGCGCCCATCAATCCACATGGAAACCTGCAGGGCAACGTTCACTGCGGCAGCATTCATAAAAGCCCCAAATGCCCCCCAACCGATGAGCAGACACACAAAATGCAGCCTCCCCACACCCTGACATGCTCAGCAAAGCACGCGGGGCTGACACCCTCAAATTCACACCCGAACTTCGAAAATATTACATGTGATGAAAGAAGTCCATCACCAAAGAGCGCATATGGGACGAATCCATTCACACGAAATGCCCAGAACAGGCAAATCCACAGAGACAGAGAGAAGGTGAGGGGCTTCTCAGCCCCTCGGGGGCCGAGGGAGGGACAAACGGGGAGCGACTGCTCTCGGGCTTCTCCCAGGGACGGGAGTTCCAGCTCAGTAAAGCGCCACGGTTCAAAAGGAACCCGTTACCAGCTTCACGGGGTCGGTGTGGCTTTCTGAGGCATCTGGTTTACACACAAGGACACAGGCTCGACGACGGTGAGCGGCACATGACGGCGCCGGCATCTAAACCAGCTTGACCCCCTACTCCTCGTCACTCTGCTGGTTACGCCCGGGCACGAGCGAGCGGAAGGAAAAAAAGAGGCTGGCTTCAGTGAGACAGAGGACAGCAACATCTCACAGTGACAGCTGCGCTGGGCTGGCCATGACAGCAGAGCCCACGTGCCACCAGAGGTCCCGATGGGGCCCGAGGGAGGCTCACAGGTGGCTCACAGGCACGGCAAAGGGGGGTCCCACCTTGTTCTTTTACCAGGAGGGTTCACCGGATAACTCTTACTGACCTTCCAACGGGAAGGCTACTCTATTCTAAATCTCGGAACATCACAAGGGGTTTCCAAGTTCATGCTGTTTCCTTAAGCTCCACTTGGTTCCGAGGACTTGAGAAATTATGGTTGCCCTATAGTTTTTAAAAACTGTACACATCTTCCACTGTCCAAAATAACATGATTTCAATGCGGAGATTTATTTCAGTCAGTTGACAGAAGAATGGGAGCAAAACAAGCCTCAGAAACACTGAGGTCAGCTGGCACACTTACCGTAAAGTTCATTTCCTTGATGGGTAGCTTCAGGTGTTCAAATCCCACAATCACGGTATACTGCGTGTAGTTCAAGTAGCCGAGGTGAGCCACAATAATTTCTGCACACTTCTGCAAAGACACAAGGTAGAGCTGTGTCTTTAAAGCAAACACGACTGGCCCCCCACCAACTGACCCATGAAGTGACACATTTCAATAACAGATGAGCAGAACTAACCATCACCAGGGAACTCGCCAGAGCCCAGAAAAATTCCGATGCCAGCCAAAAAACAATTCTTAGAAAGAAAAAACCAAATGGGTATTTTTGGAAACAAATAATAGATGATTTGCAATCATTAGAATCTTTCTATTTTGGACGATTCAAAGTAACGTCACCTACATAAAAAAGTTAACAACGCCACACAAACCTGACATTCGCACACATGCACTAGTGGGGGCAGGGGGGAGTGTAGGCGAGGACACCACAGGTCAGACCCCCGAGCCTCACTGTCCTCCCCACTCACTTCCACAGCTGCTGCACGATATACAGAGAGACGGCCTGGCCCCCTCCCCCAGTGTCTGCCCTTCCCCACGTAGAGCCCCAGGCCCACACCCAAGGCAAAGGCTGCAGGAGCAATGGCTAGTGTGATTACACGGGTGTGTCACTGCCTGCCCAGAGCCCCCGTCTCCTGTCTTGGGCAGTTAGGAGCCAGGTCCTCTCTGCTTCCATGTGGCCAGGTAGCCAGTGACCTGGGTGCAGCCACGCGGCCTAGCACACCCCTCAGAAGGCCTCCCACAGTCTGACAGAGCAGTCTCTGGGTGGCGCCCGTGTAAGCCACAGCTGTGAACAGGGCAGTCACCCCTGCTGTGGATCAAAGCCTCCCCAAGCCTCGAATGTCTGAGGTCAGGTAGGAAAACAGATCTGGTGTTTGCAGGAAGCCTTAAAAAGATAAGCGGACGATCGGCAGGCAGGGGTCGCAGGCAGGGGTCCCGACCTAAGGGCCAGGGAAGAAGTCAGAAGTGGTAAGTGTGCGCGTCGCCCCTGGTCTCTGCAAAACCAAATTCGTTCCTGACAGGTCGTAGGAGGTCACGTGGGGACAGAGGCAGCTAAGTATGGAGCAGTACTTAGTACTCAGTGAATGGCCTGTGCTACACAGGCGGCCACTTCTTACGAGCCTGGACTTTGAGAGGCTCGCCTGAATTAACGAAGCAGTGACAGCTCAGCCCCCAAGTACCTTCCAGTCTCTAAGAACTACTGAGACCACCTGACGGTGTGGGGGTTCTCCGCTCGCGCCGCGGTCTGCGCACCCATCACAATCTGCCCCTGCAAATCCCTGGAGAGAACCCAGCATTGTCGCCCGCCCGGCACAGACCACTTGCTACCCGAGGTGCCCAGCTAGGATAAAAGGTGGTCAGCAGCTCCAGAACAAAAAAACCCCACCTTGTTTTAAGTCAGGGTGGTAGTCCTGGGAGGGCTGGGGAGGAGCCTGCACAGAGAGCTCAGAAGAGAGAAGACCCAAGGGTGACACGGTAGAAACTGTGGGAGTGGGGAGACACCACAGCAAGCCACCAAGGGCCACTCTCGAGGTGCACAATGTGGGGAGCACTGCCAAGAAGCGACAGGGCAGACAAGCAGCCTCGCGGGCAGCCTGGCTGGTCCAAGTACAGGCCTCAGACATGGTGACCGAGTCGTCCTCGTTGGCCTGAGACTTGCCCCGGTTAGAAGAGAAAGTCCCCCATCCTGGGAAACTCCTTGGTCCTCACAAACCAGCAGGATCAGTCACATCAGCCTTAAGATCAAGTCACCGACCACCAGTTCATCATCCCCCACCCAGTGCGAGAAGGAGCAAAGCCAGGGGCGGAAGCTGGACTCCCGCCAGCCTGGGGGTGGAGGCAAAGCCTCGCCTGGGTGGTCCTTCCAGACCCTGCACCCATCGTCGCATCCATCATCCCTCCTTTTTACGCAGCAGAACTGACCCAGCACTGACTGTACAGACATGGCGGGTACTCGGCCCCCGCACTGGGCACTGCAGGGTCCCACAACCGGTGTCCAACTTGATCCTCGCCACTCTATGAGGATGGTCAGGGAGGGCGTAGTCCCACTATATAGATGAGGACAACATGTTTGAGAGGCTGGCCTGGCCCTTCTCCCACTGGTAACGATGGAGGCAGAGCGAGAGTCTGGTCCCTTGTGCTGCTTCCCGAGCAACACCTGCCCAGGCCCACGAGGCAGCCCAGGTCACAGAGCAGCCACCTGGGGACCTTCAAGCAGATGCCCGCAGGGAGGGACCAGAGATGGGGCCATCATGCAGCAGGAACCCTCCCCCACCTGATCCCTTCCTGCCTAGATAAGCAGACCTGCTGTGTCACGGTTCTGAACCAGGTGGCACATGGCTGCCAAGGGCACAAGCTCTAGAAGACAAAAGCAAGGGCTGAAATCCCGGCCCCTGCTCACCATGTGTGTCACCTTGGGCAAGCACTCTGATCTGAGCCTCAGTTTCCTCTTGTGTACAATGGGGCTCCGGTAACAGGGCCTGCCCTGTGGGACTGCGCTGGGGACCGAGGGAGACCTGGATGGACGGGAAGCCTGGCATGAGGCCTGTCAGGGCAACCACTTGCCTAACCCCCCAATCTACACATTCTCTTTCCTGACGTTCCTTGTGCTTTCCATGCGCCTCCATTACATGCTTCGTCCGAGGGGGCCTCCCTGCTCTACACGGAGCAGTCCCAGTTTTGACTTTTGGGATGCTGACAGAACATGGAACTAAGAAAATCAAAAGTGAGGGTTCCTTTCTTGCTTTGGACCACCAGGTTTCCTATCGTACAGCCACACGGAGCACCCTGAAGTAGACAAACAAGAAGGCCGCTCTTGCTACGAGGACTGGGCCTCAGCCCCCACAGGTGCCCCAGAGCAGGAAACCCAAAGCCCTGACCAGAAATGCCCACGGCATAGCGGCAGACCTTCACGGGTGACAAGCAACCTGTGACAACCATCTGTAGACACATCAGGCTGTACACACACACACACACACACACACTAAAAATAGGCATTGTATGTGTGTGTGTGAGAGAGAATGTGTGTATGGTTATAAGAACTGAGAAGGATATCAGTGTAGAAAGTGACGTGAGTGTTCCGCACCATCACTGGTATCATTCGATTCTTCTACTTAGGAACGCAGACATGTAACAGAGTAGCACGATGAGTAACTGTTGACCATTCGAACACACTCACCCCTGCACAGGTGAGGGTCCTCGTCCGATTGTGAACTTTGTTATGAATGAACATGGTGGTTCCATCTTGAGCTACACCGTCGACTTTAACAGTCATGAGGAAGCTTGTCTGAATAGATGTTTCTACAAAAGAAAGAAATTCCACGTCAGAGACCACATCAGGCACATCACACTTGCCAAGGTGAGGGCCCAGAAGGGTCCTTCAACCACCTCAGCCTCAGCACATGTGAAAACCTCACACTTGTCTGTGAAGTAAAGCCCTTCTGTCAGCTTCTACGTCCAACCCGTTACCCTGGGGCCTACGTAAAAACCTACAGTACAGGCCCACCGATTTGGTTCATAAAAGGGCAAGCATTTCAAGGCTAATGAAATTTTATTTTTTCATTTCCCACATAAATTTCTAACTTAATTTTATACTAAAATAAAATTAGATTTCTTACTTTTCCGATGACATATTTTATTATTTTTCTGTTTTCATGCCCATTGTTTAAAAAAATCAGAGAACAAAAAAATACAAAGATATCATTAAACACAATCCCACCACCTAGATATAACCATAATTAACACGTCATGTCCATCCTTCCAGAGCCTTTTCTAGGCATACGAATATACACTGATACCAAATTTATTTATGTTTTTTTAAAGGCTACAAAAGGGGGTTAACTTTTTTGGTAATATACATTTTTTCCCACTTAACCTACTGTGGTCATGGGGTTATCTTTTCAAATTCCTTTCAAATTCTGACTCCCAGAACATGGGAGATAAAGTGGGTGACCACATCCTCGGCTCCCCCCGGGCGGCCCATAACTCCAGACGAGCAGACCCGAGGCTTCAGAGACGCAGACGCAGCAGGGCAGGTGCCTCAGCCTCGGCAGCCCCGGGATACCGAGGCCAGCTCCTCCTCGGCTGTGGGGCGGTCCCGTGCCCGGCAGGATGGCTGGCACCCTCTAGATCCTAGCAGCACCCTCTGCCCCAGGGGTGACAACCGCCACGTGTCCTTGGGGGACCGCACCATCGTCTCGGGGCATCAGAACTGAAGCCTCTCCCAGAGCCCACGGACAAAGCTGCCACAGCAGGGGCGACACCACGGAGCTAAGCTGAACAGCGCTCGCTGAGGCTGCATCGTGACTTTTTCTGGAAGACACTGGCATACACGTAAGGGGCTCCCAATTTGTTGCTGTTATAAAGAATAATGAGCGTCCTTGTGATCCATCTTTGAGCACCTGTTCAAAGGGTTTAAAGCTCTCTCAATCTTTAAAATATGGTGCTTTGTACAAAGAAACACGATTCCACAATGTCAGGCTTCCTACCTTTCGACTGATCCAGCTCCACAACACACGTCAGCCACAGCTGCTGATTATAGGTAGACAGCGGATTTGAAAGGATTTGAATTGGCTTCAGCTAAGGCAAGAAGAAAAGAGTTAAATAATCCATATGACCTTTTCATTAAGTCTACCGAATACCTCATCTTAACGTACAAAATGTACATTTAGTAAAAAAAGGTTTGTGGAAGCTCTGAACAGAAATGTGTAGTTTTCCTTTAGACAAGATAAGTAAAATTCTGCCTTCCAGAAAAAGAAAAGACTAAGTTCCTATTGGAGTGCCCTCTGTCTCATGAAAACCTCTAAGCAGGCGATGTCCACTGCCTGTAGCCTTGGGACCATATACCTACTTAAATAGCAAGAAAAAGCCATCCTGGAGGGAAAAAAAATTAAAAGTATATAGGATACGATGTATCATAACATAATAAATAACACCAAGGATAGATCTTCATATTCACAAGAATCATTTCCTTGGTTCCAACATGCCAGATCAGTCGCTGTCTGAGGTCTATTGTTTTCTGCTTTAGGAAAGTCTTAATGCCCCTGGAGAGAAAAATTAGAGGAGACCCCACTGCCAGTGACGCTTCTGTGCTGTGCACTGAAAACCATTAATACTGGCTCCTAGCAGCCATGGGAGAGAGAGAACATTGCTTAAGGAGCCACCCATGGTTCCAAAGAAATGTATCATTTGAATGCACAGTGTTTGAACATAAATATGTAGTATCTGTGTTTTGGAACTGACAGAAACGCCCTGTGACTGAAGGCTTGCCCGAAGCCATGAGCATTGAAACCCACCAGAGGATGGTCTATCATCTTTCAAAAGTGAGTGTGATCTTTCAGGAGCAAGTCAGTTCGGTGGGACGGCTGCTGTTTATAGTGTCCAAAAAAAAAAAAAAAAAAAAAAAAGAACTTACATCCTGAGAGAAAGAAATTTTGAAAGACCTAATTATGTTCAGGAAACCCCGATGACAGCACCTCTTCAAATCAGGTCCTCAGGGCAAGAGGTAAAGAAAATCAAAAAACGCAAATGTCAGTGGGCTAACCAGAGGGCCCTTTCCAACTAGCAAGAGTAAGAGGAATTAAAAGGTAAGTTTTAGGACACTTTTCTTCTTTTGCTTAATTATGAGGGTGAAAACCTACCAGAGAGCTAGGATAAGGAAGATGGGGGGGGGTGTTGGGGATCAGTCAGATTTCAACGTTATGGTGCCATGAGAATGTGGGACAACTGCATTCAGTTTATAGATAAAGATATCATGTCTGGTCTGCAGCAAAAAAAGGGTTTAGTTGTTGCGCTCTCACAATGAGCATTTGTTAAAGATTACTGAAACTCTCATTGGAAGGACCTTTGTTTTTCTCTAGAGATGGTGAAGAATCAACCACATTTAAGAAGGGAAAGAAAGAGGATTTTTTTTCATTTGAACTGAGTTCTTGCAGGAATACCAATCATCGGAAAGACCTGCTCCTGTTAGAAACCCCACACGGAGACCCGCATTAACTAGCGTAAATAGTAAGAAACAGGCGCCCGAAGGAGCACTGCCAGAATGCACGGCCTAGGAAGACATGTGGGCATGAGGACTCAGGGCGAGCCAACTGGCATTTGGAAAGCAACTGCCGCTCCCTGGGTGGACAGCAGCATCTGCTCTAGCGCTGAGCTACTGCCTCAGGAGGGAACATCCTTATAGCAAACAAGAGCTGAGAGGCCAGCAGCTGACAGCGGAGTGAGCCTGTGTACTGCCTAAGAAGCAAGCTGCACGGCAAGGGTGGCGCATCCCCGGGACCCACTGAGCGACCCGAAAGTTTATCGGGCCCTGCCAGCTGCCCCTGTGACCCAGTCTTACCTTTTTACTATTATTTAGTGAAAAATTGGCTGCAGAAGTCTGGATTACTTTGGGTCCTAAAAGTGTAACAGAGAGTAAGAAAAGTAGGTTATACTTACATCGATAATTAATTTATCGATTGTTTTTCAAATGCCAAGAAAAACTCACACATTACGTAGAGGCAGTCTTATTCTCCGGGTCTGTCCTTAGGGGACATGTAAACACATGAACAGACACACAACACCCACCCTGCTGCACCTCATGCCTTCCCGACGCAGGTGGACACGGTCTGACCACCACACACTGGGTAGGATTCCTACAGGATCTAGTTAGGCCCAAACCTCTTTGTTCTCAAGAGTGCTCGCTCAGTAGTGCTCAGATCCAAGAAACTATTATGATATAGACATGGTCTGTATATTTTGTAATATAGAAAGACTCCTGCTAAAAAATTAAGACACATTCATCTGTTCATCCAATTAATCCAGTCTTCCTAACGATATTCCCAGAGGACTCGAGACAGTGGTTCTTGTCAACCTGACTGGGCCCTGGGTACCCAGAGAGATGGCTAAAGGGGATCCCGCTGCGTCTGTGAGGGGGTTTCTGGATGAGATTCACATTTGAATCAGTGGACGGAGGAAAGCAGACATCCCTGCCACCGTGAGGGGGCCTCATCCGGATGGCTGAAGGCTGGAATAGGGCAAAAGGCTGAGTAAGGGAGACTCTGCTCTCTGCCTGGGCTTGTGCTCGGTCTTCAAGCTGGCCTGTTGCTACTCAGCTGCTTCCAGACACAGACTGGACCTTACCTGGCTCTCCCAAGCCTCTAGCTTGTCGATTACAGATCTTGGAATTTCTCAGCCTCCATAATCATGTGCGCCAGTTTGTTATAATAAATCTCTCTTCTCCTCCACCGTTGCCCCTCTCTCCCTCTCTTTGTGTGTGTGTGTGTGTATACATACATACATATATGCCTCCTATTGGTTCAATTTTGTTAGAGACCCCTAATACAGAATTTGGTACTGAGAGTGGTTATAGAGGAAGAGTTCTTTTTTTTCTTTAAAGATTTTACTTATTTATTTGAGAGAGAGAGGGAGAGAGAATGAGCAATGGGGAGGGGCAGAGTGGGGGGGGAAAGAGAGAGAAGCAGGCTCCCCACTGAGCAGGAAGCCCAACGCAGGACTCAATCCCAGGACCTGAAAATCGTGACCTGAGCCCAAGGCAGACGCTTAACCGATTGAGCCACCCAGGCACCCCGAGAAAGAGTTTTTTCATACTGATTCTCGGGTTTCTGAAAGTGGTTCTCTAACCTGACCAGGTGTAAAGATGGTAATGACTCCACGTCCAGCAGTAGAGACAGCACTGGTATGGTTTGTGAAAATATGCATGGACTCCTGATCAACTACTTACGAGAAGAAGCTAAGTGACTATTTGTGATTCTTTAGAATATTTTTGGAAAACAAACAGAATGAGGTTGACCGGTTGTTCCTAGTGTCCCGGGACAAAGTGACAGAAGAAAAGGTGAGCTCTGGGGTTTGAATTCCCAGCTCCAGTGCTACACAAGTGATCTGACAGCTTCTGTGCACCCAGACGGAAGGCTTTATCGCCTGTAGCCACAAGGCTGCGCGCTGAAAACCAGGCCCAGAATCTCAGCCTGCAGCTGGCTGAATTACACCACAAGTTGCACACCAGCCTCACAGGCTGCCTCACTGTTCAACGGAGGGCACTGGCTGCGAAGCAGGGAGATCCTGGTCTGGGGACGGCAGGAAGACCCTGATGAAGCCGGGCATGCGGAGCTGCCGAATTTCAATGCTTCGTCTTTGCCACTGGAGGAGCTCTCCCCATTCCCAGCAGAAGCAGCCCTTCCACCTCCCCTGGCTTACCTAAGCAGACAGACTCCCCTGACGGCCCCGCAAGACAAGGACGATTCTGCTCCGCAACCTCCCTTCTCTGACTCTAGAACCATAACTAGACTCGAGTTCCAGCAGGGCCCCAAAGGTGAGGTACGAAGTATGGCCCATGAGGAGATACACTACATATGCTCCAAAAGAACTCGGCGAGTCTTCTGATTTACACAGAGAGAAATCCAGGGAACATGTGTGGGAACGAACACTGAAGCTGGGAAAATGGTGGCAGGAACATGAAGTTGGAACGGTCTGATTTATGGATGCAGGCCCACCAAGGAGAGATTCTGCATTGCAAACTGGAGCTCAGGGAGTTAGGAAGGACTCTAACAGTTTGGTTGGTTGGTTAAAAACCAACAAAAGGTGGTCCCCAGTAAGCAAATCAGAAATGTCACACCTGCCTTGGTTTAATGGAGAGGAAGGGATTCAGAGGCTTAGGGAAATCAGAACATTGGGGCGGATTTGTCATTTAAGTCTCCCTGCCGGGAGACTTCAGGACACGGAGATTTCACCACCACTATGAGGAATAAATTTGTTGGGGGGGAGGGTCCCAGCACCATTAAAGAGCTCTATGACTGCCCTGCTCTGTGAACCAGATCTTACAGTAGGAACCATGGTTGCTGAACTGGGGAAGCCTAGAGCAATGGGAATGACTGGACCCCGGGAGGCCAAGCAGCGGCGCTCACCCACCCAAAGCAAGGTGGGCGTGGCCACTGTAATGGACAGGACAGTCAAGCAGCAATCAGAAGAGCCTGGTTGGCACAGACCTGTGGGGCTGGCTAGTTGATGACGGTGTCCCTAGAAGTGAAATCCGCAGGAAGCGGATTTGGACTTGATCTGTGTAAGCAGAAAAGTCTAAGTCAAGTGAACAAAAGTCTAACCTGAATCATAAAAACAGAGAGTCATAGCTCTTCAGTAGTTTCCAGATTTGAACCACTTTGCAGACCCACACCTCCAGAAGACTGGGTCCCATTAAGAATGCACCCCAGTCCACTGCCAAAAATGTAGACTGCTAAATCATTTTCCCAAAGGAACCTACAGCTTTTTTGCCAAGATAACAGCACATTGGGGAAAAGGAAATACATGTTGGGCTCCCCCGGACACTGGCTCTGAACTGACCCCAATTTCAGGAAACCCCAAACATCAGTGTGGTCCACCAGTCAGAGGAGCGACTCATGGAGGTCAGGCAATCAATGGGGCTTTAGCTCAGGCACGTGTCACAATGGGCCCAGCCGGTCCCTGAACCCATCTTATGGCTGACTCCCTAGTTCCAGAAGGCATAATTGCAACAGATATACTCAGCAGCTGGCAGAATCCCCATACTGGTTCCCTGCCTTGTGGAGTGAGGGCTATTCTGGCAGGAAGGCCAACTGGAAGTCACCAGGACAGCCTCTACCTACAAAAATACAATCAAAACCAGTGTCACATTCCTAGACTGCAGACATCAATGTTCCCATCAAGGGTGTGAAAGATTCCTATCACCCCCATTCATGTTGCCTATCTGGCCAGGGCTAGGTGGCTCTTGGAGAGGACAGTGGAACACCATCAGCTGAACCAGCTGATGATTCCAACTGCCACTGCTGTACCCGCATGAACAAAGTCACACATCCTCTCGCATTTGCTCCAGCAAATACCGTTCTCTTTGTCCCTGAAAACAAGGCCCACCAGAAGCCAGGCCAGCAATATACCTTCACTTCCCTGTCCTGCCCCAAAGGTTTGTAACTCCCAGCTATACAGCACAGCTTGCACAGATCTTGGCCATCCTTCCTTTCCACAAGCCATCGTGCTGGTCTATCTCATCGTGACATTATGCCAACCAGACCTGGTGAGTAAGGAGTAGCAAACTACCCTAAACTCTTTGGTAAGACACTTGCATGTCAGCAGACGGGAAGTAAATCTGGTTAAAAGGCAGGGGCCTTCTACCTTAGTGAAATTTCCAGGGGTCCCCTGGTATGCACCATAGAAAACTATCCCTTCTAAGGCAAGAGATAAACTGTTGTGTTTGGCTCCCCTACAATGAAAACAGAGGCATGATGCCTGGTGGGGCTCGCCTCTGTGTGTTTTAGAGGCAACATGTTCCTTGTCTGGGTGTGACACTTTGGCCTATTTATCTAGTGACCCACAAAGGTGCAAGTTTTGACAGGGCCCAGAACAAGAGAAGGCTTCCTAGCAGGTCCAGGCTGCGGTGCCGGCTGCCTACGCAGGTGCCGTTCGATCCGGCAGACACAGAGGTGTCTGAAATGGCAGGAGAAGACAGGGATGCCGCTCGGAGATCTCGGCAGGGCCCTACGGATGAGTCTTCGTGTGGGCCCTTGGGACTCTGGAGCAAAGCCTTGCCCTCCTACGCATAAGCTCTCCTTCCGAGACACAGCTCTTGGCTTGCTGCTGGGCCTCAGCAGAGACTAAATACATACCCACAGGCCCCCAAGCTACCATGAGACCCACACTGCCCACCGTGAGTTGGGCACACATGGCAACTCCATCACCAAATGGAAATGGTACCATCCGCGCAGGCCTGAGCAGGCCCTAAAGGCACAGGAAAGTCTCTCTCTATTAGTACCACATACATCCTATTGGTGTTTTTCTCTGAAGAACCCTAATACCAGTACTCGCTGGGAAGAAGGAAAGGGATGTGGGAAACCTGACCTTGTTTTTCTGATCTCAGCTGGGGTGCATCCCTTCACTTCTGCAAGAAGTGGAAAAGGCTACGTATTATCATGGGACGCTGCAGCAGGCAGTGGCTTAGGGACGGAAACAGGAACTGGCTGAGGTCCCGTGAGACTCCAGTCGAGAGCCTGTCAATGCCTGTCCCACCCATCCTCAAAGGACAGTTAGGAAAACGGAGTAAGATGACTGCTATGTCCTGTGCCGGGATTAACGTAACTTGTCCCTTGGTGACATCACGGGAAGGAAAAGAGAAAGTGGCTCCAGCAGCTGTTCTCACCATCATGTGCCTCATCAGCAGGCAAACGGCACCTAAGCGACCACCCTCACGCCCAGCTTCCTGGAGCCAGTCACCAGCCTCAGGCCAGCGGGGGTTCAGAAACTCGCCTTTGGAGGCACAACTGCCTCTGGGACAGGCCAAGCCTCATGTCGTTCATGATTTAACATGAAACACCATAATTAAATAAACACCTACCAGAAATCACGCTCACTAAACAGGATGCTTAAGAGGGCAAGAAGAAACAGCCGAGGCAGGTCCTGGGCTCCTACCCCCTGGATAGGGCTGAAGAGACCAGGTTGCTGGGAGCCTTACGAAAACGGGCCGACTCCTCTCCTTCTGCTTTCCATCAGTGTGAAATGGGGTTGGACTGGACCATTTCAAAGGCATTTTGGAAGCTAAAATCGTATGGTGTGGCTCTTCCCCTCAAACTATGTGCCATGGAAGCCCGGGGCACCGGGGCCCGGAGCACAAGGCCAAAGCCAATCTGCAGGCTCCCTCCTGCCAAGAGTTCGGGGCGTCACCAGGGCCGCCTCCGGGCTCCCCTTGGTCACCCCAGCCCCGTGCTCATGGCTGTCTCACGTTCCCCCCCAAGAATGTGCTGTACTGGACCTTTTACTGGGCTGGGGCCCCCATCAGTCACATGTTCTGGACCCCCCAGTGCCCAGGCCGGGTCCCGAGCACACCAGCGTCGACAGAAATGTCTGACTGCCCAACAAACGGTGCGCGGTCCAGGCCACCCGGTGCTGCGAAGCTGAACTCCAGCCCTGGCCGCTATGAGGGGCGGGACCCGGGTCACCCCCTGCCCAGCAGGTTCAGAATGAAGTGGCACGTCACTCTCCACTCAGGGGCCCTTAGCAGGTGACTGGGGTGGGTATAGCTTGGCCGGGCCAAAAGCCACGTGCCAGGGTGACTGGAAGTGATACAATGACCAGGAACTGCACCTTACCTCTGATCCCAACGAAGACGGTCAGGCCAAAACAGACGAAGAAGACGACAAACACGAGGACAAAGTGGCGCTTGGACAGTGTGTAGAGCCGCATGGGCGCCAGCCTGCAGAGAAGTCGGGGGTAGGGGGAGGTGAGACGGGGGGCTGAGTCCACAGGAGCCCCCAGCAACACCCCAGGCTACATCAGGTTCCCCTCCCAGAAGCGGAGCTACTCGAAGCCTGGGTGACCTGCCTGACAAAGCTGCCTGCGTCACCTCAGAGCCCACTGCAGGGTGGGCGACTGGCCGGGACGTCAGGACACCCCGCCCTGTAGGTGGCCGGCCAGACCCACTCCCCACGGCACGGCAGTGTGCCGAGGCGTCGGTGCCCACGACAGTGTGTTTCACTCACCAGGCCACACGTGCGGCGGCCGGACGCCTCCACCGGCGCCCACCTCCAGCGGCCAGAGCAGAGCCTAAGGGCAAGGGCAAGGGTGACCCCGAACCACTCCAGCCAACACGCGGAGCTGGGAGCCGGTACCATCAAGCCCAGATCGGAAACTGCGGGTGCCACCAGCGGTCCTTGGGGTGGCCCGCAACGTGGCTTCCCCGCCTGGGGCTCCTCACCACCCCTCGCCTACATCGGCCCTCCCGGTGAAGCTCGGCCTGATTCTGGCTCTGGGGTCTGGGGCCTGGTTCTGATGCCACTGAGCAAGCTGCCCGCACTCCTCGGTGACTTACACCAGGGCGCAGGGCAACCGAGCGGGTCCGTCCCAACGCCACCCCCCACAATCAGGAGGTCCCCGCCTATTCACCCCTCCTTTGTCCTCTGCTCAGAAGAAAACGGCAGTGGGGGAGGGATCAGTTCTCTTCTAGAATTCCCCACCTGAGATGTCAGTAAACAAAAGAAAAACCCATGAAGGACGAGACAATAAATGTCTGAGGCTTGGCCGGCCACACAGCGTCCGTCGCCAGCCCTCAGTGCTGCCTCCACACGTCGCCCAGACGTCACGTACGCGCGGCGGTGTTCCCATTCAACCCCACCACGAAGAGGTGGGGGGCCAGCTGTGGCCCCCAAATGGCCAACCCCTGCCCTGTAACCTACAGTGGAGACCAAAAAATCCAAAGGGATGAGAACGGGGGTGGGGGGGGAAGGGGGTGTTTTGCTTTGGTTTTTAGATTATTTCTATTCCCCGACCATTTCCTGGTGTTGCGAGCTGAGACAGGAGGAGGAACTCCTGCCTCAGGAACAGCACACACACCCCAGGACAGGGAAAACCAGGCTTAGCCCTGAAACTGAGGGAAAGGTTATTTGCTTTTATGGTGCCTGGTGCACACGTGCAACCTCTCCTTTACGTGGCTCGAGATTCCAGCTCCTGAGCAGGAAGTCAGCTGGCTGGTATTTCGGGGCAAAGGTTGGAGCCCATAAGCCACCTCTGCTCAGATGTGGCTTTGCAGATTACCAAGCCGGCTCCCTCCCAACAGGACTCGCCAGGCCTTTGGGTGAGTGAACTCCCACGTCAGTGCCACCGCGTTTCACAGAATGACGGCACGAGAGAAGGAATGAAGGAATGCGTGCCTCTGTCATTTTCTTGGGGACGCAGGTCCAAAGGCCACCCCACAAATGACCCTGCTATGCATGAGAAATGAGTAGCCTGACCCCAACTCCAATTTGGTACCCTAAAGTTTTGTTTTAAGATTTATTTATTTACTTGAGAGAGAGAAAGAGTGTGAGGGGGGACAGTGGGGAGGAGGGGGCAGAGGGCAGGAACCTCAAACACAGTCTTAGCCGAATGTGGAGCCTGACGCAGAGCTCAGTCTCACAACCCTGAGACCATGACCTGACCTGAAGTCAAGAGTCAGACACTTAACTGACTGAGCCACCCAGGTGCCCGGAACCCTAAAGATTTTAAGAGACCTGAAAGCCTTAAAATAGAACCAGAAAGGACCTCAGGGAGGAAGTCCAAGCCCTTCCTTTGACTTACACACGGGGACTCTGAGGTACAAGACTGCGGAACACTTGCCCAAGATGTCACAGCTCTGTCCCTGGCGGTAACTGCCGATCCCCAGGAAGGAGGCTGGGGGGAGCAAGAAGAGCTGAGGGGACCCACCCCCACGACTGCATTTCTGGGGAAAGCCCTGGGGAGGCGGGGCCGGCGTCAGAACAAGGTCCTCTTTGTCATTGCTCTGCTGTCTGCAGGTGTTGAGGCCAAGAATGCGGTTCCTCTGCACAGCCTGCAGAAGGGAGCATGCAGGCATTTTCACTTCGAAAAAAACCAGCATGACGCTGACTGGACTAGATGTTAGGAAAGGCAACTAAAGTGTATAGTTCAAAGGACTACACCCACGTCGCTCTCTTAGTTTTGATAAACGTGCTACGGTTTCAAGACGCAGCATGAGGGGAAGCTGGCTGATGGGTGTGCAGACCCTCTACTCTCTCTGCAGTCTCCTTGTAAATCTGAAGTTATTTAAAAACTTACCCAGAATCATCTACAGCACCCCTAGTCTGCTGCTCTCACGGCGACCTGCCCACCCCAGCCCAGGCAGGGGCTCTGAGGGGCACGGAGGCTCCCAGCACAGGCGAGAGCCCAGAAGAGGTTACTTGGAGGCAAAGAAAACCAGAGTAAAAATAATTATATTTAAATTTTGATTTTTTTTTTTTAAAGATTTTATTTATTTGCCAGACATAGATCACAACTAGGCAGAGAGGCAGGCAGGGGGCAAAGGGGGGAAGCAGGCTCCCCGCTCAGCAGGGAGCCTGATGCGGGTCTCGATCCCAGGACGCTGGGATTATGACCTGAGCCGAAGGCAGAGGCTTTAACCCACTGAGCCACCCAGGCGCCCCTGAATTTTGATTTTTAAACACTATCGTTAAAACATATTATCAGTGACTTGGTAGGAAAGCAGTTATTTAGCCTGAGAGGGAAGGGGAGAAAGAAACCAGCCAGGCCCCCCAAGAGCACAAGGTCAAGTTCCTGCAGCACATGCCCACTGAGGGGCGCTGTGCCATTCCCCCTACTTCTGCCCCGGGGCTCAACACAAAGCTAGCGCTTCCTTTTTTTAAAAAAATTATTTTATTGGGGCGCCTGGGTGGCTCAGTGGGTTAAGCCTCTGCCTTCGGCTCAGATCATGATCCCAGGGTCCTGCAGGGAGCCTGCTTCCCTCTCTCTCTCTCTGCCTACTTGTGATCTCTCTCTCTCTCTGTCAAATAAATAAATAAAATATTTTTAAAAAATTATTTTATTAACATATAATGTATTATTTGCCCCAGGGGTACAGGTCTGTGAACCACCAGGCTTACACACTTCATAGCACTCACCATAGCACACACCCTCCCCAACGTCCACAACCCAGCCACCCTCTCCCTCCCCTCCCACCCCCATCAACCCTGTTTATTTCATGAGATTGAGAGTCTCCTATGGTTTGTCTCCCTCCCAATCCCATCTTGTTTCACTTTTTTTCCTTCCTACCCCCCACAACCCCCTACCCTGCCGCTCAAATTCCTCATATCAGAGATGATAATCACTTCCCTTTCTTAAAACTGCCACTTACATCCAATTTATTACAGATTCTCCTGGTTCAGAAATGAGGCCTATTCAATGGAAAACGGACAGAAAAAGCAAAAGAAGCCCCCTACCCAAGGAAATGTCACGGGGCACAACCACGTCCATGAGCTCGGCTTGCTGGGCACCGGCTGGGCAGGGAGCCACATTTCTGTGTTTTCACCTTCGTGATGAGCAGTAAACCTTTCCAGGCTTCCTCAGCTGGGGGGTCTGGTCTCCAGAGATGCCCTCCAGCCACAGGATGTCATGGCCCAGGGCTAGCACAAAGATAGCTCTGTTCCACGCAACGGTGTCTCCCCTCCACGGCTCCTTCCACTCTCAACTTCATGTCTAAACACTTTGAAGCAGTTCGCCAAAACTCTAGAGACTTCCAAAGCCTCAGGAATATGTTCCTATTCTAGACAAATCAGAGGTCTACACTGTTGTTCCATCACAGCAGAGAACCGAGAGATGCTGACATGAAGACATTCGTAGAGTCGAGCCCCGCCCCCACCGGGCCTGTCTCGCTTCACATCCCCTAGTCCCAGCTGCCCCACAGCTTCCTGCTCAAACCACGATCCCAGTCATTTCTCTGCTTACCTCCCACTTCACCTCCCACCTGAAACACCAATGTGTTTCTAACCATCAAGCTAACCTAAACCAGCAGCCCGGGCCAGTCCCTGTGAGTAGACAGCCTGTACGCCCTCCGATCAGGCCACCAACAGAGGAATGCTCTGTAAACGCTCAGAGGCAAGACTGTGATGCCCAAAAGGCACGGAGCCCGTCCCCAAAGAGCCCTCTGACCCAGGAGCCTTAACCTAACATCCTGCATGTCAACCTCCACTGGCACCCATCCCCTCCGGGACCCACACTGTGTGGACTCTCCAACCCCGGGTGGTCTCCTGCTCCCTCCTTCAGGCCCCCTCCCACCTCCAAGAACTGTCCCCAAGCCCCTGTCTGCCCCGATTCTGTTCGGAGACAGAGTCTCCCAGGATGTTTTCACTCAGGAATCCATACCACTTTACGGTCAATAAGTTTAAACCTGAACCCATTAAAGCACAAAATAAATGAAAAAGCTGCTTCCACTGCCCATTTCCTGCCTCTATCCTTTCTCCAGCCCCACATCCTGAAACCTTGGGGTCACCTCTGAGGACGCTCGCCTCTCAGTAGTCCTGCGCCTGCAGCGGGCCAGGAGGAGAGGCGCCCTGCTTCCTAACTTTTCCTTCCCAGCACAGCCACTGTGCTGGCCTCCCAGACGCTGCCTCTGCCATGCTGTGACACCGCTGGCATGAGACCCTGCACAAGAAGCCTCTGGCTCCCCACGGCCACTCCATCCAGGTTCCAGATCCCTCCCTGGGATTCTTACCGTGCTGCGTGTACCTCCACGTGAGTTACCACCTCCCCTGGTCATCACAGCTGCCTCCGAGGTAGGCACAACCACTAAGCGCATTTCCCAGATGCGCTCAGGCTGAGGCAGCATTCAAACCCAAGCACCAGCATCCGGGGCCTAAATTCTGTTCCCAGCATGGTCAAGCCGGACTCCGGACCAGTCCTTGCAAACACTGCTCTCCTGATGAGAAATGC